ATCAGTCAGTTTCATGTTTAATGTTTCGATACAAATTGAAAATATTAAATATTCTTAATTGAAATTTAAAATACTTTTCATTAAAATTATATGTATTCTGCATGCAGATTATTAGTGGTGGGCGATACATATCGTATCAGATATGAAAACTAGATATTAGTACAATATCCGAATATCGCTTACTGGCTCGTTCAATATCTATGTATTTTACAATATCTGATATTTCCGAAATCTGATGTAACGTGCTCGCTCGCTATACCGACACGAATCGCGATATCATACGCGTTTGCCACAATATCTGATTTTTAAACAGATTTCGAGAGACAAAGCGCGTGAGATACAAATACTCACTAGTTAGAGCGGGACGGCAAGCAATGCACGATATCAGTTATCGAGCGACAAAGCGCGTGAGATATAAATACTCACTAGTTAGAGCGGGACGGCAAGCAATGCACGATATCAGATATCGAGCGACAAAGCGCGTGAGATATAAATACTCACTAGTTAGAGCGGGACGGCAAGCAATGCACGATATCAGATTTTTTAAACAGATTTTGAGCGACAAAGCGCGTGAGATACAAATATTACACTAGTTAGAGCAGTACGGAGAGCAAGGCACAATATCAGATTTTTAAACAGATATTTTGAATAAGTTAAGTAATTTTGAATCTTAACACCATGCAAATAAGATCCGTTTCAATTAAATACTAATCATGGTATCAACGATTACTACAACGATATTATTAAGTATATTTTTATTGTTTTGTTTAGCCTTGAGCCGTAACGGGCGACAAAGCGCGCAGTTAAGTAATTTTGAATCTTAACAGCATGGAAAAAAACATTTTTAGTTGCATTTAAATACGAATTACGGTATTAACGATGTCTTTAAATTTTGTTTAACCTTGAGCTGGATTGCATTGGTACCTAGCACGTAATAGTAAGGGATGCCAACTTACTACTTAAGAATTTTCTGCCTAAATTAAGGAAGAAAAATATAAATGGAAATTTTTTAGGAGGTAAATTTTTTGTGAATATTTTTATTAGTTAAATTTTATTCATATTTTTGGAAAAAAATAAAACTACACAAAAAGAAAAATATAATTTAATAGTGCTGTGCTGCTTGGGTGGAAATCAGACCAAGGCTTATGTGCTTTGTGTGTATATTTTAAATTCTTCCGCCCTAAGTTATAATACTGAATGTATTATTTCTTACACAAATTATAAAAATATTGTCACTCATGATTGCGTGTCTAAGAATATGTTAAAGTCAATTATTAAGCGATATATAAGATGTTGAAATAAATCATTTTTATATTACTTCAATTTCTATTTTTAATGAAATTTTTAATTTAATCAGGTAATGATTTAATTTTACCTTAATAGTATTAAAAAAGTGTGATTTTAAATTCAGTAAGGTTTTTGAATTTGGTCAATTTTAGTGGGTTTTCGAATTTATTTAGAAGTATTCTTTTTGAACAGTTAGTATCACTGGTAATAGCTTTAGTTCTGTATAGGTATAATGATCGTCGAATGAATGAATGAAATGAATCAACTTTTAAATACGCCTGCACAATTTATATTTATAATAAGTATAAAATATTGTTGAAAACATTTTTTTTTTTTTTTTTTAGAATTCAAGGTGGATACGGGACCGTTAAAATATCTAGATATTAAAATACATAGTTTCGAAATCTGATATTTGAAATCGAAATCTGATTCAGATACGGTACTCAGAAAAAGCGATACGACCCATCTCTACAGATTATTAATTTAAAAAATAAAAAAGTTAAAAAACATATGTCACATAGTTTACGTAGTTCTTCTTTTCTGTTTTGGCGGTTTTATTTCTTCTTCTTTCTTTTTGGGCAGTTAGAGTCTTCAGTTTAGTTATGAATATGATGACGGTTCACGGTCACGGCAGCAGTCTGACATGTTTAATGTCAAATTGTCAATTGTCATCCGAATTCCGAATTCAAATGATTTTCAGTACAATACTCTAGATTACGGTATTAAAATCAGGAGTTGTTAGTGTTACTCTGGAATTGATCGTGGGCTTCTTAACGCGTTAAGTAATTGACATCGGAGCGATTGCAAGTGGATTGCAAAATTTCAGTACTGTACGACAGAGATGACGATAGTAGTTACAATTAAAATAGACATTATTTATTAACAAGACACGAATAATCTTAAACTCCATGATAATAAACACGGAATAGTTAAAACAGTAGAAGTGGTTCTTAACAATGATGTTATATACTCTACAGTGGTAGGACCACTCAGCAGCCTCGTACCACGACCTTACAGAAGACCGACGTAAAGTGGAAGTTTAATACTTTCGCGTTTCGTCTGGTGAGTGAGGTGGCCGGAGCCCAATCTTCAAAAGGTTGTCAACACATCGGGTGCAGCAGATGTCCATGGACGGCGGTATTCACTTCACATCAGGTGAACCGTCTGCTCGCTTGTCAACTTTTCACATAAAAAAATCACATGTACAAAAGACTACTATACATACATACATGCACATATATATATATATGTACATACAGCGTGTCTTTACCATCGCGACAATAAATGAACACACGTCTAACGGTACTTGCCAATAATGAAAAAAATATTAACGTTAAAAAAATCCATAATTAAAAAAAATATTTTTCANAACAAACTAATTAAGTGCCTAAAAAAGTAACAAAATTTGTAACACCTATACAACTACAACTGAGTGATTCATACTTTCTGACTCTTTTTCATTCGTTTGTCAGTTTTGTGAAAAACACCACTTCATATTTTCTTTTTATTAGGTCGGTAAGATCGAAAAATATTATGCATATTTCCATTACTCAGTAATTTGTATCTAAATGAAATTTCCAAAATACACGATTTACAAAAAAAAAAACAAACGGAGCAAAGCTCGGTCCTCCAGGTACTATTATATATATACACACAAGGTCACAAAGCATATGAAAGGGTTGAATGAATTTAAAAGAGACAAAACATACTGTTAGAAGGAGAGGCTTGTAATACGACGCTGTAGCGCGAGTTGTATAGGATGCTACAAATTTTGTTTCTTTTTTACTTAATTAGCTTGTTTGAAAAATATTTTTTTTAAAATAGGGAATTTGTTTAACGTTAATATTTTTTCATGATTATTGGCAAGTAGCGTTAGACGTGTCTTCATTTATTGTCGCGATGGTAACGACACGCTGTATATATATATAATATATATATATATATATATATATATATATATATATATATATATATATATATATATATATATAGTCCTTTTCCATAACTTGTAACTAAGGTTCTATTACTTATATGGTTAATAAATTATACCTTTTATAAACTAAAAGATTTCTATCGATTACGTAATTATATAAGTGAAAATACAGGGGTACTCTTGGTTGAAACACTAATACCTTTAAATTTTAATTACTGCTGCGCTATATATGGTCCAAGACTACCAAAAAACTGCTCAAGCCATAAAGAGAGTACACAATGCCTGTATACATCTATACTTAAATGGAAAAGGTGTACTGGATATGGCAACCAGACGTGAATTACACTTAACGTGTACGGTACAAAAGGCCAATGGGGAAAAAAACAGCTTACAATCTTTTAAGCGCAAATATAAGGAGTCTCATAAAAAACAGAAGCTTACAAAAATTTTGAAACCAGCTTTTAAAAAAATTATTACATCCCAAATCAACACACACTATGACACGCATACTAACACGCAAATGCTTCCACAAACAAACACCCTCAAATACACAGAACTCAACTTACACTCACACACTCTCTTATACGTAAAAATCTGTACTATAATAAAACAGTAGAATCGTGTACATTGAAAATAAAATAAGGAAAAAAATGAAATAAGGTATCATAAAAAGAGTTATAGAAACCATAAAAAACATTTTTGGAATTTTTGTCTGTCTGTCTGTCTGTTCGCGCTAAACTTGAAAACTACTTATCGGATTTTGATCCAGTTTTCAGTGGTTACTTAAGCTAAGCTTAGGGCAACATATGGGCTTTTTTCATCTCAATCGGTTCACTCGAACGGAAGATATGGGAGTTCTAAGATTCAAGCAGTGCATCCGCCACAGTTATCACAGTTAGCCAACTACTGGACTAATTTTTTTGGTGTTTTTGAAAGTATTGAAGATTAAATCTGTGCAACATTAAAGCTTTGTTTTATTGCAATCGATTTACTCCAACAGAAGATATGTAACGCACCTGTGGTTTTTAATCACTCGCAAACCTCAGGATCGATTTATACGGGTTTATGACAGAGTGTCAGTACAACTTCCTAGCAATATTCAAGTTTCATTTGATCACAATCAGTTAAACTAAGATAATTTGAATTTTCAGTTTCATAATAATAAAAATTATTCAACTGATAGAATTAAAGTTCAGCATTATCTGGGCAAAGGCCTCTGTACACGTACAGATACTTATTATTATGGCATTGACCAATGTCCACCAGGTGACAATAATGATTTGCGGACATCACAAATATTTTTCGAAATATTTTTTACTATAATTTCGAAAATATGCAGGTTTCCTCACGATGTTATCTTCAACGCCGAGCAAGTGATATGTCAGCAGCAGCACTTAAAATTAATTATTTCATTTTCATTGGTGCCGGGTCGGCACCGGGTATCCGGTATAGAACTCAACTCAGTTTGCTCGAGCATATTGAATTAATAACGAGAATCCGAACAATGAGTTATCAGATCAGTTTAGACAAACTACTAAAGTAAAGTAATACAAAATATGTTATATTTTAATAACCAAGTATTTGCCATTGAATAAGTAACCTACCTAAAACGAAACATCAACAGTTCGGTCGGCCATATTTTTCTAATAACGTCGTGTGGCAAACGTCAACATTGATTGATACACTGAGAAAGAAGTAAACCCATTAAATATTATTATTTTAGCATTTTAAAAATCGTACATATTAAATTTTAGTGTTGTGATATAATTTAGATGGTAAAATGAACCGTTCCGAAGGGTTGGTGCAAAGAAGAAATGTCGTAAAGGAGAATTCCGATGGTACTCAGAAAGAAAACCATGACGATGATAAGAAAAATGATAAAAATTATGATGATGGCGACTCAAAAGAAACTCGCCTAACGTTAATGGAAGAAGTTTTACTTTTAGGATTAAAGGACAAAGAGGTACCGTTAATTGGTATAGAGATCTATTGAGTACGTATATGCTTAAAATGTGGTATTACAACTCCGTGTTTTTTAGGGTTACACATCATTTTGGAATGATTGCATATCTAGTGGTCTCAGAGGATGTATATTAATTGAACTGGGACTACGCGGACGAATAGAATTAGAAAGGGCTGGTATGAGAAGGAAAGGACTATTGTCTAGAAAAGTGATCGTGAAAGCAGGTGATTTTTCTGTTATTAAAGATTAATTCTATTGAAAATATTTAAGAACTGGATAATATAGATTCAGCCATTATATTTTTTATTTACTTATCCATTCTGAATGTTAAACAATTTTTGTCTCTAATATGAAGTATGCGACATTCCTCTTGCTACATTTCACCGTGTGTTAAACCATTTTAAAACTTTTTTTATGAAATACATTAAATTTCTGGTACGTCTGAAATTTAACTTTCTTAGTTTATTGATTTCTTACTTAAAGTATTTACATATTTCTAATTAAAATATGCAATGATTTGAATATTTCAAGTTTGGTAACAAAATGTGTGATGTCAACAAAAAGTAGATTACAAAATGTTTTCATTAACATTTAGAAGATTTGTAACCTGTGTCATATTTTTTAATTTGGTGCTTTTTTACTGTCTCATACCAATATGCATAAAAATTTTGTTTTGTTTGTTTGAAAACTATGTATTGAAAAAATTTCTTAATCTTTGAACATTGCTTGCAATTTTAACTTATTTAGCATTTAATCACAACTAGCACAATTTATATCTTTTGTTGTATTATTTACTTATAGTATAGGGATACAGAAGAATTATTGTTGTTGAGGAAAAATAGTTTTTTTGATGATATTATGCCATGAAAAGCTAGTTTAATGTTTGTTGATGGCAACAAATCATCTACTTTGTCTTCTTCATTCACCCATTTTTATGGGTAAATTGTAATGATTGGTTTTGCTATTGAAAGTTTTGGTAAATGTAAAGAACATTGTTCTTTGTGTAATATATTTAAAATGAATTTTAACTACAGAGCAAAATCACTAATGAATTTTGCTTGTTGATTAACAAGCAAAATTCACCGGTTGCTTATAGTTTTCAAAAAGTAGTTAATAGGAGAATTCTGCTTGTGCATTAATTCAGTAGTGATTTTTCTCTACCGTTTTTAATTGAATTATGCGAACGCCCATGTCCTTTACATTTGCCCAAGTTTTGGATATGCTAGATATGAGATATGTATTGATAGTGATTTAATAAAAAAACAAACCTTAGTAATTTCTACATTTTGAAGAGTATACATAAAATAGAGCTTCTCTTTGTTGAATTCATAATAAATAATTTTTAAGTCAACATTCTAATGAAAATAATAATCTTTGAAATAAATTATAGGAACCAATTTCATACATTTTAATGTTTGTATGTAGTTTTATAAATATTTATTTATATATAAATTTTGTTATTTGCAGATTCACCAACTGGAGATGTTCTTTTGGATGAAGCACTAAAACATATGAAAGAGACTGAACCCCCAGAAACTGTACAAAGTTGGATAGAATATCTTAGCGGTAAGGGGCGTGATACTCCTATATATTTTAATAAAGTATGTACCCTTTAATAATCAATATTTTTTTATTTGCAGGTGAAACTTGGAATCCTATGAAACTAAAATATCAGCTCAAGAACGTACGAGAAAGGTTAGCAAAGAATCTTGTGGAAAAAGGAGTTCTTACCACAGAGAAACAAAATTTTCTCTTGTTTGATATGACAACACACCCTTTAACAGATAATGTTGTTAAATGCCGATTAGTTAAAAAGGTAGGATCTGCATTGTTTTGATAAAAAATAAGGTAATTGTTGAGTTGATTGCAACAATTTTAAAAATAGAACAGCATTTTTAAACCTTTATACCTAACTTGCAAGATGATATTAGTCTACTAATTTTTTGTTTCCTGGTGATGATAAAAAGTTAAAAATGGGCTTAAAAATTATAAACATTGATAATACAATAATAATATTATTAACGATGTGCAGTTCAAATAACAGTTGAATTATCTGCATTTTGAACATTAAACTAAACACACATTTTTTCTAACAGTTAGTATATTTTAATCATAACCCAAACTCAAAATATACCTGTTCTCAATGTCAAAGCCCAGTACTGTTTCACAAATACAACTTTCTGTTGATAAAACTCAAAAACACAATTTTTATGTTTTATTTTTTGGTTGAAATTAGTCCACAAATTAAGACCAGTGGAACACACCATAAGCGTAAAGCATAACTATTAAATAATATATGTTGCCACTACTGCACTTCTTTGGTTCCTTCTAATTATATTATTAGAAAGTACATATATTATGATAAGTACTAAAATGTAATATTTCTATATATATATATATAAAAGAAATAAAAGTGTAATGTCATGAAACCATCAATGATTACATAAAGCACAATAATATACTAATTGTCTTTCCATTCATCATTCTAAATCTACATTTGTATAATTGTAGTCCTCAAATATCATTTTGTAACACAATTTATAAATTAAAGCAGTCTCCCAAATAAGCTGTAAAACTAATAAAACACTATGTAATTAATTGATACATAAATGGTATAATTGATAAGAAAAGGTGAAGATTAAAATGTGATAGGTTCCTAACATAATTTGTGATTTTGTCAACTCAATCTTTGATAAATTCATCTCTTTGCAATTTGAACAATTTTAACAACAATTTATTATAATATACATGTTCAGGTTTTATTTCATTTTTATGACATGATAATTAGGTTGTTTCTGATTTTCCATATGTTTTGTTTATTACTGTACACCATGGTGTAACACTATACAATAATATAGTGTAATGAAAAAATAGTTATGGATATTACACAATCATCATACTCTATGTGTATGATATTCGTATACTTATATTATGTAAAATATACTGTATCTCGACTTTCCCGTCCCTTTCACGGTCTTATGCTCCTACACAGATCTACACTTATTGTTATAATTTTTTTTGTTGTGTACATTTATTTTAAGTTTTTCTAATATTATTTTAAATAATGTGTTTTTTATTATTATTTAGTATTCTATGTATCTAATGTGCTTAGACCGTGAATAAATGTTTCTTCTTCTTCTAAAATCAGACATAGTATATGAAATAACGGGCTCAAAGTATAATAAACCTCAAAACAATTATTTATGATTCATATTATAAAATTTTGGCTTGGTTTAGTTTAATGGTTATCACACCATTAACACATATCATTGGCAGCTAGCACAATATCAACAATCTTCTCTTAAACATTCTAGAGACTTCAATAGTTTGTTTATAAATAAGTAAAGTTCCGGTTTTAGATTTCGCAAAAGCTTTTATGTAACACTGCTGGCTAATAAACCAAATTTAATTTACTTTAGGTGCAAGAAGCAGCTCTTCGACGTTCTATAACTGATGTTGCTCATGCCGACAAGCGCTCTCTGGCATTATTGATGCTCGCCCACTCGGCGGATGTGCTTGAGAACGCTTTTGCACCACTCTCAGATGAAGACTATGAATTGGCGACGCGAAGAGTGCGTGCTTTGCTTGACTTGGACTTCGAAGCCGAGGCCATGAGGCCTGATGCTTGCGAGATCATGTGGGCAGTCTTCGCTGCTTTCACTAAATAGCGGTAACATGCATCATTACCATCTCCACTGACGCATAGAAGCATTCTTCTAAAATTCAGTTGGTTACTAAATTAATACAGGTTATACCTGAAGACATTGGTGTGAAATAAGAATGAATTGAAATGAAAATGAAATCATGATTGACTTCAAATAAAGAAAAGTGTAAAAATAATTGTCTGTCAAATTAAACCAGTATTGGGTATATTTAACTTTTGTGTGTATATATTACTAAAAATATAAATTGGAATGTGTTTTTGAACCTACATAATTTTGTGATAAATATTTATATTATTTTTTTAATACTTTAAATGTTAGTAGACCCATTAATATGTAACTTTTTATGTTGTCTTAACCAATAAAGTGCAAGTAAAATGGCACAAAAATTCCAAGCCAAAATATAGATCTTTTTTTTGTTTTACATAATTATAACTTATTACTGAAAATTTAAAACTGTTTGCAAATTCAACATTGGCACTGAATTTAAATATTCTTATATAGTATACTAGTATAATTAAGATTTGTTCACACAAAATACTTTATTGTTAACATATTTTAGTTTTAATGCAAATGATCCAGATATTATCATTTACATGCATTTTAAAAGGAAACAGTGCATTGATCCTCTCAAGTTAAAATTACAAGTCGTTATCATCATCATTATGATAATTTCAGCCTGTTTGATTCCACTGCTGATTATAGGCCTCCCCCATAGACTGCCACGAAGTACGATCATGAGCCACCTTCATCCATCGACTTCTCACACATTTGCACAGGTTGTCACAAAATAAAATTACAAGTATGACAGTATAAATGAAAAATGTCATCAGATAACTCTTTGTTTAATGGAAATAGCTGTATGGTATTGAATTGAAAAAAATTGAAGAAATTAAATGACTCAATGTTCATATAAGTTTGTATATTGCAGATTTTATTTATTCAAATATGACTATTTGGGTTATGTAAATGCACCAGTTACAAGAACGATTTAAAAACTAAGCTAATATTTTAAGTTTGCTCGCCAGTTATTGTATTATTGGTTATATCCTTTTTTTATTTTATAGTCTTTAGAAGTAGTATTAGCAAACAGCTATTAATATCTTTCTATTAATAACATTTATAGTTAAATAAATATAAAAATTATGATGTTTCTTTTAGTTAGTGATATGTTTTATTTAGTTTTAACTATGATTATAGAAAGGAATGAGCAAGATTTGTCGCTTGGAGTTCATTTTAAATAAATAAAATTAATGTATTTACTTAAAGATTGCCATGAACAGTAAAATTATCTGATATACTCTGTATGCTAATTCTGCAAACTTATTATCTATTATTGCAACATCAGAGCACGTAATAATACACTCTGTTTTCTATTAAGCTGTTTGTACTATAAATTTATAATATCATTAATAAATACATATAATTTCTGCCCTCTGTTTATGGAACTGGAATACTAGAAATTTAGCTGAAAACATCTATGTATAATTTATTTGTGGCATGAGTGATGTTACTTAATTATCATTTCTTTGGCAGCCATGAATATTAAAAATACTGTACTAAATATTATAAGATTCTTTTGAACTGTTAATCAACATCAAAAGAAGCATTTGGTAATTTTTAATATTTAGGAACCTATCTCCACATTGGGCAAATTTTATTAAACTTAATATTAAAAGAGTTATTGTGTATTCAAAATATGCAATTACTATATTATTTTTAATTTGCAAAACTTTCTTAACTTAGGTTTTCACTAAACGCATATGTAGACTCACAATAGAATTTAATATGTGACATTATCTTTTCTATAAGGTAAATGCTTGGAGTGCTGAAATTTTACATAATTTTAAATATGTAAAGTTAATATTCACATTATTTGTTTCGAATTTGCCGCTAAATAATTATTAGGATTAATTGTTAAATTTTATATGTATTATGTTTATATGATCTAAAATATTGATATATAGCAAATGTGCTAATTAATGCTTATGTAAGTTAGTTCGCTTGAAAGTTAACACTTAACTATAAATTAAATATGTAATGTTTAAATTACAGAAAAAAATTGTCGTTTGCCTTTTCTACATTATTATAATTTTTGTATATAGATGTAGTAAATCAATTTTCAAACATAATCCAATTAATATCTTCAACCTAGATCTTGTTTTAATACTTACTTGATTAGAAATGAACACTAACAGACGAAAAATTTAATTAAAAGTGTATTTAGGATTGTATAAAGTTATGTATTGTACAAAATATGTTGGAATTAAATATAATCTCTTATAATAAACAAACTGATGTGTTTATTTGAGGTATGCATTTTTATCTAAAATACTATGAATAATATAAGTAAAAATATTGTGCCTACCACATGTGCATTTAATTTATCATTTTAATGGTAGAGGCCACGGTCTTAAATATAGGTCTATGAGCGGCATCAGCAGAATTCAATAGCATGCAGTGAGAGCGTCCTCCGCTGTTGAAGGAAAATCCAGATGGCGCTTTGATCAAGGGATGCATCAGCCTAACTTACATTTTTTTAATTCTCTAACCTCACACCCAGAGACGGATTAAACGTGGAGAGCGCTGTAGGCAAGCATCTTCGTCGCAACAGCGACAGTAGATTCAAAGCTCCAGTGGAATCCCCATGTACGATCTCTTGCGAATAGGCTAAGCTCCGCTGTTTTTGCGATTAGAAGGGTTAGGCAACTAACAAACATCGACACTGCCAGACTTGTTTACTTCAGTTATTTTCACAGCACATTGTCGTACGGCATTTTTTTGTGAGTTAGTGCATTTGATTTACATTCTATATTCATTCTACAAAAAAAAAAAATCTGTCCGAGAAATCTATAATATCGGAGCCCGGAATTCACTCGGAGATCTTTTTAAGGAGATAAATATACTCACTGTTGTTTCTCAATACATTTATTGTAATATTTTGTATATTCGTAATAACCTTAATTATTACCTAAAGAATATTGATAAATTAAACACTAGAAATAAGGACAAAAATACTACACCATTGTTTCGTCAACAAAAATAAATAGGTCATTCATGTGAAAAGGTATGCCCATGTATAATAAAATTCCACAGTCGATATTAAGTCTGCCGGTTGATCAATTTAAACGTTAAATTAAAAGTCAACTTATGGTTAAAGCATATTATACCATTACCATATATCTCGACGACGCCGATGAGTGGAGTTAAAACTGTTGATAATCACGTAGGCTAGAATAAGATTATTATACCTGCATGTTATATTGTAAACTTATTTTTGGAAAAGAGCATTTTTTTAATTTGCTTTCTGAACCGGTGGTACCTTACGAACCTATATATATATATAACTTTTTATGTAAAATTTGACGATTCATAAGGACGCGCAAGCGTCTGTTTGACGCTTAAAGATATTTGATTTCATTTAATTCGTGAGTGAAGTCTGGAACAACTATCTATATCTACCTGTGTGTGGCCTTCAATCCCCAGTCCCCCTCTCCTCTTACTATCTTTCACGGGACTCACTTACTAGTCGGGTCGAGTCGATCATGTTATATTATATTATTGCTTTTGTCTGAACTGTAATTTATTGCGTGATTGGGCAATCAAGTGTGACCCAGGACCCCAGGATGAAAATTGGTCTAATGCATTCGATAGTTTACAAATCATCATGGTTTAATCATGATGGTTTACTAAGGGTTTTAAATACGTCGAATTTCAATGTGTGTAGGTATCTACCATTATTGTATCATTTATGGCATGAAATGTGCGGAATGCCATTAAATAAAACTCACAAATGTGCTCACTGTTATTTGTATCCTTCAGAAGGTTTTTTACATAATTTCACTATTTTTCCACCGTTAAAACAATGTTATTGTTAATCCAAACAAGTTGACGCGCTAAATTTAAAATAGACGCGGCGGTTGTTTTAATCCGCCACACATTCGAATGACATATCGAGAGGCAATACGAAAACTACTCATTAGTTTTGAGTACAAAGTCACGATAGTAATGGTGTATCCATCATGTTCTGCCTGTAGATACTTTACACAAATATCTGTACGTTTCTGTTAATTTGAATAAAAAAGTAACGCCTATTTCACATTACAATTTATATTAAAGTACAACACTTTTTTAAAAACATGTTGATTTCAGCCACTTTCACTTATAAACTTTATTTGGCGAATGTTGTAATGAAGTAAAACTTCACTTAGTTTTATTTTAATTTTGCGATAGGAATATATTATTTTCCGTTTCAACTTTAAAATAGTGTAAGAAATTGTAAATTGCAGAAATTACCGGCCGAACATTTTATTCAAGTATATAGGCACGTATTTCAAACCCCATACACTTGCTTTTCATATTGTTTTGGTTTATGTGCGTATTGCTAAAGCTGAAACAATCGACCCAGCAACTCAGGGTAAATTGTTCGTTAGGTTTTTGATTCCTCATGGTTTAAAGGATATAAGGCAAGATTTTAGATATGGTGTTTTTTAATGGAAGAAGGTGGCAAGAGACCTGGCGGTTCACCTGATGTTAAGTGATAACCGCCACCCATGGACTAATGCAACACCCGTAGGGTCACAGGTGCGTGGCCACCTTTTAATCAAGTGGGCCCCACCTCACTCACCGAACGAAATGCAAAGGTTTGCACATTTAATGTACTTACCCGGACGGTCCTGCCGAATCGTGCAACAGCCGAAGTTGTTACGTGGCCCTTTCACAGGTAATGTCATTAGGAGGTTTAAAAATTAATTAAATTTAATTAAAAGCCTATATTATGGGGTCGTCTATATAGTGGGAAGGTGCTTATACTTTTACTAGCTGTTGCCCGCGACTAAGTCCGCGTGGAATAGGGTAAAAGCGAAAAATTCAGACAGATACAGAGTGATATCTATACATATAATAAAAATGTAACTTGTCTTTGTCTGAAAGACATTTGAGAAAGACTATTATTAAAGGTCCACCTGCGTTGATAACGCAATAGAACCCAAAACAATGGTTGT